TTTAACCACTTCAATCCGTGAAGTTCAAAGCTTCGTTAATCAGTTTAGTATTTTTTTCCTTGTACCTTCAACTAAACCCTAACCCACTCGTTTATTTCAACACAGTTGAATATTATCACGAAACTATCTAAAATCAAATACCGGCAACCTACAGATTTCTTCAACTTTAAGAATCCATCTTTCACAGCCACAATCTGAAGCATATAAAACTACCTCAGAACGTGATTGCTTTTTTGTTATCAAAAAAACATTTCACCTAAACTGAAGATGATGGATTTTGATAAACCTCAAATGAGTATTTTACTTGAATCTTGAGTTCATTAGCCTCCAGTCTAGAAGAGATTATGAGTAGGGGATATTGAAAACTCTTCGTTATAAATTCCCACCACCTAACATAAATAAAAGTTGGTAATTTTCTATGTTGATTGTAGAATATGATTATCCTTCTAATTTTGCGTAAATTTGTTTCCTTTATTTCTAACCAGTATGAATTGTTAGACTAAGCGATTGTTCATTACGATTAGAAAACGATATTTTAAATAAATGTATTTTCCGAGTTCTAACATGAAAGTTAAATGAATTTACACTATACTACATATTGGTATTATAAGTCCCAGAATTCTGCCAGTAGCAGACTTAAATTTTATTTATCCAATTTGAATTTCTATTGAAATCCATGAGATGAAAGCATATAGTTTACATGTCCCAGTCCCGGAAACGAATTTCCAAAGACATTTTTCAGATGTTAATAAATTATGTAGATGGATTTCTTTAAATGGTAGGTTTATAATTCATGAAGGAGTAAATCGGAATTAAAATTAGTGCTCTTCGAGTTTCTCACGAAATTAGAGGGCGTAAAAGATATCTGGTACTGAATTAAAAGTGAAGCAAAATTGATCAGTATTCAGTCACAGAAATGATTAAAATCGCTCAATTAGACAAGACTAAAACAAACAGAAAACACTTTGAGAGACTGTGAAGGAGAATCTTACAAAATGAATGGTTTATGAAAATATAAAATAAAACAGAGAACTAACAAAATTAAAATCTATATAATATATTTAATTTGATTTGTGAACTTTCCAAATTAAATTAATTCTTCTTGAGATCTAGCATCAAAAGTAGTAACTAGTTCATCCATACGGCTACAAGTCAGCTCTCTCTTTCTCTTCATTCTAACTGCAAATCAAATTCTCAACTATAATTCTTTTTAAGATGCGTAGTGGCTAGCAGTGGAATCCAGGACGCCCGTTTCGTCCAGTTTGGGACTCGTCAGCTGGATGTACCTGCATCTCAGAGTTGATGTTCACTGGATTCCACTGCTAGCCATTATCCATCTTTGCCTAAAATGCTTGTGAATTAATGCTATATCAAGGCAATTCACACAGTATGCCAATAAGATACTGACCAGTTGCTGTCCTAAACATGAATGGGAAAATTCCAACAAACAATACTAATTGAATTTATAACATATTATATTTTTTATCATTGTTGAAAGCGTGAGTCAATTGAAGCTAGACCACCATGGAAAACCTGGAAACACTGGACGGCCATGGTGGTCTAGCTTCAATTGACTAACGCTTTCAACAATGATAAATACTAAATCTCCACAAAACCCCTTCTATAATTTATATTTTTTAAACTCTAATTCTTAACCCACAATTTAATCATTAGCCCTGACTACTAGTTCCAGTCTTAATTCCTTACATTAGCTTCTAATTCCATTACTTAGTTTTATTTAAGTTAGTCAAAATTAAATGCTCATTTATGTTATCCGCATCCTGATTGGGTAACAACTGCATAAAATATCTCAGGGACATTTTCGGAGATCATAGGTAAAGTTCTAACCAAAATAATTTGTGCTGAAAACTGTTTATTGGAAGATAAAGAGAATTGATATAAGAATGAACGAAAAAGTTTATTTTTACAAAATTTATCGTAATTGTTTTTATGACTTTTGTGTGCATTTGTGTGTATGTGTATCTCTTAATGACTATACACACAGTAGATATATAGCTTTTCATGTAAACATCTAAATAACAGATAATCTATTAATGTCACTATGCTAAAAACGTATTGGACACGACATAATTTCTAAACGTTAGAAGAAAACTGCTCGAATAAATACTTCATCTGAACATTTAATAAATATCAAAGATTCTGTATTTAAGTCAGTCAACAGACACGCACATTTTTAAACTTGTCTGAGTTTTAAAAAAATAGTGTCTTGAAAATACTGCATAATAATAAAAGTTGTCAATAATTTTTTATCAGAGGGAGTTTTGTGGAGAATTTAGTATTTTCATAGTTGAAATCATGGGTCAATTGAAGCTAAACCACCATGGAAAACCTGGAAGTACTGGACGGTCGTTTCGTCCTATTGTGGGACTCCTCAGCAGTGCGTATCCACGATCCCGCCTCGCGAGATTCGAACCCAGGACATTTTAATAAGTATCTTTTCTGTTCTACCACCTTGTAGCCAAAATGATTATTTATCTGTTTCATCTAATGGTTTGAATTGAAAAAAGAATCTTTGCGTTTTCAATAGATGAATAAATAAAACTTGTTTTATTAGGAAAATGACTACTTTCCGTAATTTGTGACACATTTTAGATATAAAGATCATTGCATCAATATAAAATTTACATAGTAATCTGAGTTCTTGTACACGTTTGGTGCAAAGCAGCATACATCTATTCCGCTTTCCAATTAGAAACAATTTTGCTAATCAATATCACGGATATACATAAATTTGAGTTAAAAATTATATTTACAAATAAATAAGGAACCATTTTTCATGAATAAACTGAAACTAGTAAAAAATTAATTCAGAACTATGTCTTCAATTGAAGTTATAATTGTTGAATGTATTGATCATCTGAATACTTCTATACATTGTTACAAATATAGATTTAAACATAGGTCCCTACTTAAATATTTTCTTATTCACTGTGTTTGGACCGTAATGAAACTTGACGTTATTAGAAATTGAGATCTGTGAATATAATTCATTTTTAAAGTAGATAATATCAAAAAGTAAGGGAATTCAGATAGGTATCACACGATATCGAGAATTGGCTGTATTCAGAAATGCAAACCATTTAATTTCAACTCAGTGGTCTAAAGTTAACATCCTTGAAAAGCCTGAATATCTTCGATACAATATCTAACGACTTAGTCCCCAATCATAGCTATGAGTTCCCATATTAACGAGAAACGGATGTACAGTAGTGCTCGGTGGTTGCATACTTAAAACTAGTTTATGATTTCAAGTAGTATTAAGCTGAACAGTGATATTTTTTCTAATGAAAAGCTAGGTTCTAATTTGAAGAACACCAACAATGAATTAGATAGTGATAGGTTAATTAAAAAAAATGGAACACTCAACAATACAATATCATCTACGATCTATATTAGAGTAGAAAATAAATTGAATTTAAAAAAGTTACTGTAGGACTTAGATGTATGTACATAACAGAGAAAATTTTTAAAAAATAAATAGATCTATGCTTAAATGATCATCTTTGCCAAATTTTTCATGGTTTAATTTGTCTGGTTGTAGTACTCAGAAAAATTTATTGATCAAAACAATTTTTTGACTAAATTGTATCAGTATAGTAGTTATTCTTAATGTATCCTGTATATATATATAAAACAGTACATAGGTTGTAAATTACCGTTTTATTAAACAATCCTTGTCATAACGTACACATGCTATTGTTTCATATTGATTTTAATGTTCAATTATCAAGCCGTCGTACGAAATTCGCTGTCACATTATATCTAAACATACAATATCAAAGCATTTGTTCCATTCCGTTTTTTCTTTTGATTTAAACGTTTAAAACATATGGTTTTCATTTATATTTTTTTTCATAAAATAAGCATGTATTTTTAGATAAAAGATGGACAGATGTGGGAGTATTTTTCTATATAGGTAAATATCTTAATTACAACTCAACAATCTCCATATCTCTGTACTGATAAATAGTTATATGTAAATGTAAGTGTATCTGTTATACAATCTGTTATTGTATATTTTGACATACATAAAGGAAACCAAACTGAAGTTTATCAAAATCTTAAAGTAGCATACATCTGTTCATTTCAAACGCAAATGTTCTATCAGTTTACTAGGTTTTTTAATAAGATTCAGTGTAATAAAAGTACAATATCTTATTGCCTACATTATTTAACAGTACGGAAATTATTATTTTTAATATTAATAAGAAAGGAAGTGAACTAGCTCAATAATAATATTATTGACCCATATCATTATTGTAATGCTGGATGAAGTCGCTTTCAGGGGTCCATCGTTTGTCAGTTAATTTCAGATATTCTTTTTTGATAAATGTCAGCCAATAAGAAATGATTGTTTCTAGGATTCAAGCTAACTGTTTTTAAATATTAAAGAGAAAGTGAAAATAGAATCACTAGATTGCTACATTCGAAGGTTTAGAAGCGCAAACTGATAGGTAATTCTGTCTATATATTTTCAGTTACACAACGAATATCTTTATTTCATTTCGAATCAAAAAAATATCGTAAGTTTAATGTTAATTGGAGTTATTTCAAAACTGTCCGTTATGCGAGGTATCCAGTGTAGTGTAGCCTGACATGATGGATGAAGAATGTGTTTAGAATAAAATTTATGGTTTGAATTGAAATAACTAATGAATATCACATTATCCAATATGCTACACTCAACTATTAAGTTGACGGAAAAATGACCGAAAGTGTTGAGTACGACACACTTATTGAACATAAAATCATTACAGATAATGTCAACTTTAAAATTAAAAATTACTTAGTTAAAATGACTTCATTAACTATTGAACATAGACAACCCAAATTACTTAGAAAATAAATGTCTAGTAGTATGGTAACTTTTGAATCTATCATAAAATACCATTGAAATGATGTTTGAGTTAAGCTATTCAAACCACCTTGTATGATTAATAATGAATAGTGTATATTTTCCATTTTTAGATCCAACTTACTACTTGTTTTTCAGCATATTGAAGGGTTTTCTGGTTATTTAGATCTGCCCATTTATTCTCTGATAATCTAGATAAAAATAAAATAATAAAAAGTATATCGTTCTAAGTTCAGTATTTTAAACATAAGACAGTATTGTCTATACGAAAAGTTGGAAAGTGGTTGGCAATGGAATTAAGAATATGATTTTTTGTCTTAGTTGAAACTCATCAGTTGAATGTACCTGAATTCCAGTGTTGATGTTCACATTTGCTTTTAGTTTGATATTTCAATGCTGTGAAAGTTATCCATTGTGCTATTGTTTCCAGACAACCACTAGGTTGTACCACGGAGATAATTCCACTGCTAGTCACTATCCATTTTCTTTCTTTAAATACTTGTGGCTCAATGGTAATATTGAACAAACTTGCAGAAGATAGGCGTATATCAAAAAGACCAATAACAGTTAATGATACCAATGACCAAATCCAAGCCACTCTAAAATACGGCGTACTTTCTGTTTTTATTCATTGAAAAGTAAACCAATCCATCGACTTATGTATACAAGAAAAAACTTGACTAAGAAGTAATTAGAATATTATGGTTACCTAGAGATCAGAAAATACTGTGCTTAACCAAGATGTTTCAATTTAAGAACAAAATAATAGCTTACTTTTAAATAATTTTCAATCTTGCTTCAGCTGGATTGGAAAGATATTCAAATATTTTTTTGTTTGGAAAAAGTATATATATATATAATGTGACAATAGTAATCATAATAGCACGACTGAACAATCTAGGAAGTGATTCACATTTTAATCTAACTATTACAATCGTACTAGGGCTGATAAACAATTTAGAAAGAAAATGATGTTGAAGATATTTGTCATCGTAACACTGGAATCATAAAATTGAAATGGCGAATTACTTTACAACACTCTTCGAGTATCACTAAAAAAGTTGATTAATACATTTTAATGCATATAATCAGGTTATGTTGCCACGTTTCAAAGATATTTTCAATCTCATGAATAAAAAAGGATTTTAGTTTGTTTGACATGATCAAGAGAGTTTCCTATTTAATTCATTGTAAATAACACAGTCCTACAAAATGTTAGTTGTGTCTCAGAACATAGAGCTAGATTACCCAATGACAGTACCAGTTCTTTCAAGATAACAGGTATATATTGCTGACAAGACCTATTTAGCGCAAACCCTAGGGTCAAATACTTTCAGCCACCTAACGTACAATACCGTGCCAATATTTTCAAGTTACTCAGTCTAATGAGTGAGTTACAACTTAACCGATTGAATTTGATAGTTACCAACGGACTAGATAAACATAATGCTGGCCGCCATACAGTGATTAGTCAATTATGAGCCTAGAATCGTCTTTAGTATATTGACTAACTCAAAATCGATTGAAATATTGTTTTCTAGAAAACCACATTTATATTCACTGTTCATCATTGTTTAAAATGATTTTTTATATTTAACTGCCAATTTTCGGAAGTACAACTATTTGATATAAGTTGTTACTATTTTTTAATAATAAACATTGCGAAATTACAACTTCGTCTGTGATAAGACTTGAGCTTATTTTATTCAGACCCGAGAGTATCAGCTACACACAAATAAAAAGTAATACTGATAACTATCATAAATGTTAAAATACAAGGTTCGTGAAACATGATACTTCAAATAATTAACTGACAAAAACAAACGGAGGTTTCGAGGGTTTATCATGAAAACAAATTAGTTTTGTTCGTTTGGTTTGATGTTTTATTTAGAATAAATATATACATGTTATAATCGTATGCCTGAGTAATGAGACTTGACGGAGTTTAAAATTTTTTCACGAATCCAAATTTTTCTCATAAATGAATAATATATTTCTAAAATAGGCCGCTGAAATAGCTGTTTTAAGTAGTATCTAGTTAATAATTCATACAACAAGAATTAAGAAAAGTGATGTCCATGTATTATAAAGATCTAAAAACATACTGATTGCAAATGTAATTGAATATAATTTAGTTGTGATTCTCTGGAATGCATTTACATTTACAATCATTATTTATATCACTGGTTAGGTTTTCGTAATCATGTATCTTGCCTCTAATATCAAACAAAAATATGAACCAATTTGTTGATTGATGTTAGGTGTCAAAATGGAAGTTCAGTTTGAATATTTACATTCGTCATACAATGATAAACAATTATATGAAAAGACAGAATCCTTTCTGTTTGTCCTTTCAGATTATTAACGAAACTTACATGGATAATACACATAAGATAGTCTAATAAACTTTACCATGATTTATTATCGTGAATGATTGTAAATCAGCTGAAAATCCTAATTTCGTTCAGGTGAATAGTAAATCAACCAAACATGGACAACTTACAAATGTATATCAGGTCAAGCTGTTAAACAGTACATTAAAGAGATGAAAATTCTAATCAGCGTGGGATCAGGAAAATATAACACAACATATTAGGAATATTGAAAGAATAATAATGATAAGTGTAGTTTAAGTGGAATGAATACAATGAAAAGTATAATATATGCTCGATCGCAAAGAATAAGGAAAAAGTAAGGGAACCAACTAATTTATTGTGGCTGAATATAAGCTATGACACCAAACGTTCCTGATTATAGAGTATGATTGATCTATAGACCCAAAATAAAATGTTTGGATTTGGACTCCTAGATGCGGTTTGATGAAATGGTTAATTACTTGATTGAATTGATATCATGTCTTTATTACTTCATCCTTAGCATGTGCTTACCTATTCCTATATCATTCAACTCAGCATATTGATGTATGCTGTAGTTAAAGACTACCTGGTGTTTTGATCATGCTTTTCAGAAATTGATAATCAAACACTTGCAACCTGTACGCATGTTTCACTTTGTATGCAAAACAGATTTAGTATACCTATGGAGTATGTTACTTATGTCTGTCGACATAAATAGTATGGAACATCAATCAGAAATGAAAGGCCTGACAAAAGAAGTTTGAGAAGACTGGACTGAAGAAAACAGAAAGAGAAACGTAAAGCAACTGAAAATTGGAGGAACCATGAGGGATGTAAAAGACAGCTGATAGAAGATGTGCAAATGAATTACTTAATATATGTTTTTCATAATTTAGAAAGAAACTATAATTTTACACTAAGCAATAAATTCGTCTTCTCCGCGTGAGTGTTTGTTCACCACATACCTCCCAATATATATATATATATATATATATATATATATATATATATATATATGCGTTCGTGACATACTGATCTTAGTTGAGGATGTCATTGAAAATCAGGAGATGGATAGCTAGTTCGTCAAACTATTACTGTCCTCAACAGTGCACAACTGTGACCACATCAGTGACCGAACATAATGCTTTTGGGTCTCGCGGGTAAACGCTTAGGTATTAGGATTCTACTTTCCAATGGTATCCTAACTTCTTCAACATAAACAAACGTGTTTTCACTTCCTGTTTATATGTTATGCTGAAAGCACCACTTTTTTCACTTACCGTTGATTTTTAGACTCATTATTGGTATTGAATGTATTACTTTTGCATCCAAATGTTTCAGGCTAAATGAATATCAAAATATGAGGAAAGAATCTGTAAACTAAACTTTTAAAGAAAATAAACATAGACAAATATAGTGTTGTATGTACCATTACAATATAATCATGTATCTATCATTCTTAAGTGTAAAAGTAGTTAAACAACGATAAACAGTAAGGTCCGAAAGTTCTAAAAAACATTCGACTTTTTCATGAAAATAATAATTTTTCTATATACTGTCTGATCTTTATACATTAAAACTCAATGATATTATAAATAAGTATATGAGGTTGATCCCAATATGAAATGTACTATTTCATAAATTAAATTTCAATCTGATGTTATAACAACTAAATATAAATGATCAGTCTTAAGTAGCAGGAAACGCCCGTTCGATTTTTCACTACTAGGCAAAATCCATTTCTTTTTATTAAAACTTAACTAATCGTAATTATGATTTTAAAATGTAAAACAGTAGTTAATATTTTTTCAGTTTTACAGTGGATGAATTTATAATAACTGGACAAATGTTGATACTAGTACTAACATGATTGTGGTAAAAAAAAAATGGTTGTTTGATACTTGTTCAACAGAACAATACTGATATGACTAGTTTCAAAAACGTTTGAAGGATTTCAGATGAAGATTTATCTGTGCATCAATTACTAATTCCAGCGAAGACCGTGGAAGATGGCCACTCAATGTCATGCATGAATTGAAGTTAGACATTAACACTGTTGGATGCTGACTCACTGATCTATAGTTTAATAGATCGCACGAGACTGAAGGTCATGGGTTCGAGTCCCATCTGCGGGATCGTAGATGCGCCCTCATAAGGAGTCCCATGCACTCATTGATTTGAACAGACATTCAGGGAAACGAAACAAAGAGGGGATAATGAAGCAGAATCTCGCTAGAGCGGGTTCGTGGATGCGCACTGCTGAGGAGTCCCATAATAGGACGAAACGGCCGTCCAGTGTTTCCAGGTTTTCCATGGTGGTTTAGCTTCAATTGACTAACGCTTTCAACTATAATAAATACTAAATCTCCACAAAACCCCTTCTGATAATTAATATCTTCATTTTATTAAGAAATATACAATTCAAACTTATAGTTTGAAGACACTTGTGACATCGCTGATGCCACTGTCCCACCTATAATAGTATTATGTAATTTGAAATGTTTAAAAAATACTTTATAGAAATGTTTAATTCGATATCAATGTCCTAATATTTAAAACAGTCACACATACACAGATTTGTTGGTAAAGTGTAGTAGATATTACCTGTTTTATAACCTTTAAGGACCTTCGAAAAAGTCGGGATGCATATAAAACTTATTAGTTCTGTTGTTATGCTCATAAATACAACATTTTTTAGCATATATACTGACTTAATAATGTTTGCGAAAAGGACAGTGACGAAATTGCATAACAGTGTTGCTGAAGAGTGCTGAATATAGAATGAAACCTAGGTCATGGAGGGTTGTTTCTAACAAAATATGCTTAACCACCTATTATCTCAACACAGTACATGTGATGTTGATTCACTTAAATTAGCGGCTATATTTCAATTTGATGGACAACATTCAATATGCGCTAAAGGAAGGACCAGACAAACATTAACTTGGTCGTTGTTCTGTGATCAATAATTTGTATCAGTCACGGCCCAAATAGCTCAGTAATGACCTCTCAGATTACAAAAGTAGTTGGCACCGAGAATAACCGTTCAGTGAGCACTAGTCCTCATAAGACTAAAGGCACATCTTACTGAAAAGTGCCAAAGAGAAAGAAACCTAGGTTCATGATTTCCTGCCGACTTCCTTCAATCGCCTAACATAATAACGTTTGTGTAAATGTAAATGAAAATTTTCACAGTAGTCGCTTAAGTAAACAACTAGTCTGTTGTCTAACAATTTAACATTAATTAACCGAAATCCTGGATAAAACACTAAATTTCTTCTTTTCTTATTGAAGGTCATAGTTCATGAAAACTTGGTGTCATTTTTAAGGCCAGAAATGATGTCGTTCACTTCAAATTATTAACAGGACTGACCTAGAACGAGACAGTGTTAATTTCCTTATCACTGAAAGTTCATATATCAAAAGTTTGTTAAGTGATATTTGAAATTTATTTGATAATTTTTATCGTTATCCATATAATTTTGGCATCTATCACTCAAATCACGTTTTACATCCACTATAGTTACGATTATGTAATCTAGTTTTATAGATTTCAGATACTAACAATTTAGTGTCTACTATGTGATCTTTGACCTATATCCTTCCTAGACCAAGATTATCAGTCAGACAGTACTTATTTTGAATAGTCTTCATTCAGTCAAGGTTATGGCATTATATAACCAATAACATCTTTGCTTACTAATAAAAGTACATGAAAATCAGTGGTATAGGGAAAATACTACTGTTTAGTCATTTTATATTTGATTCAGTTGTATTAATAGTATTCTAATAGTTACATTACACAAGTTAATATTCTACTCTAGTTTACTTAGTATGAATTGGTTAAGGAGTGCTTAGAAGAAAGCTCCAAAGTGATATTTACATTCGATGCTATTCACTGTTTTAGCTACTTTTGAAGATTATGTTTTCAACGAATGCTGAACACTCTTGTTTTTATTAAAACCTACTTTGAAGGAAGTTAGTTTCAGGAATATATCTTACTATTCTGAATATGTATGATTTTTCTCAGATATTTAACAACCGTGTACTTAGTCTGAGAAATAGAGATGGATTATGCGAAATTTTTTCTCGTTTAAAGATCCCCATCATATTAAAAGACTAATATTTGAATGAAGATTATTCTTTTCGATGGATTCTCTTCAGGTTCTACAATTATATACTCAAATTAATAATCCGTGAAAATGGCCAGGTTAAAGGCAAAGTACATCGTTTAAAGCATGTAAATTTAGGAATGTCAAACCAAATAGAATAAAATTGTTAATGTTGATATGACTCATATAGAATGTTAACTTGGATCTGTATATATGTTAAGTGAAAATTTAAGATCTGTGATCAGAATATAAATATGGGTCAGATAGGGTGAGAGAGATATGATAGTGCAATTACAATTCGACCAAATGTTTAATGGAAGACCAGATTGTGTGAAAAATCAGTGAGACGTAATAATACTAATTTTTTCACACAATTTAATCTTCCACTTGATCGAATTGTAATTGCACTATCATATCTCTCTCACCCTATCTGACGCATATTTATTCTGATCACAGATCTTAAATGTTCATTTAACATATATACAGATTCAAGTTAACATTCTATGAGTCATATCAAGTTTTTTCTCTCCACAAATTAGATTTACAGGATTTACAGAGTTGTCATACTGCTACTATGGATAACTGTGATAATAACTAGATACTGGTTACCGTATAACGGATGAATACTGATACAATTTAGTATGAGAAAAAATGGCAAAACTGGATACTTTTATGCGGTAACTACGAATTCACAACCGATTAACCACTGGTTGAAAAGACGCATCAAAATTACACTGAACTATATATCATTTCAGAAAGGGTTTTGTGAAGATTTTAGTAATTTAATAGTTGAATTCATGTGTCGGGATCGTGGATGCGCACTGTTGAGGAGTCACACGATAGGACGAAGCGGCCGTCCGGTGCTTCCAAGTTTTCCATAGTGGCCTAGCTTCAATCGACTAATGAAATGACCTACCTAACTGATCACCAGGCAAAGTGAATATATCGAACTAGACTATAGTTAACATAAACTAACCGAAACCAAATACATGTATATCATTTGTGCCATCAGTTAGTTTGACTACATTAACTAACAACATAATAAAAATTATTCAATTACATATTTGTTTCTTCCTGACAATGGAGGTACCGGTATTTCTCATTGATAGATGCTTATATTTCCAACAATCCTCCTTATACATTTTAAGGATAATAAAACCTCGCCGATAAAAGATGCACTACCATCTTTTTAATCTATAAAAATACTATTGATGTACAAATTAACAGAATTAAAAACATTTAATAATGTGAACTAGATGCTCTGAGTCACAGTTGATGAAGTCTGTGTATAAATACAATGTTTTAAAGCAAATCAAATCGAATTTCAAGGATAGAATCCTCTTCCATGGCATTATATAAAAGTATCAAAATGTCAACATCATTTTTTGCTTCTAATTAGATTATTAGTATGCAGTTGTGCTTTGTATTGTTCTATCGAGTGAAGAATAATGCATAATAGTAATTCAGTATCGTTTAAAATATTGACATTTTTTGTAAGTAGACTATAGATAACTTTAATTTGCTTAGCATTAAGATAACAAAGTACTTCTGTGATCAAGTGATATGATGAGCAGAGTTTTAATTAGTTTAAATGCAGATGACTCAGAAAACTGATTTTTTCTAACAGTCTATAACATGTGATCAGGTGTTAAGATGGTGTAATTGTGCAACATTCGTTCTAATTATATATGATATTTTGTTTCGCATAAAACCCACTTATTTCAGTGTGACATTTATTCAGTTCAATATTCATTGTATTGATTTAATATAAGTTATGTTCAATATAACATGTAACAGGCATTTTGTATTAACTCTATCTAATCTACTTTGTATTTCCCTTGTTTTGTTCATATGTGATGTTTTTTTTAACTAGTTATCGAATATCAATTAAATAGATTTATGAGTGTTTTTGGATGATGAATGAAACGTGGTTCTAATGTCAGTTTTCTATTCATCCCTAGTTGCATACAGTGTTACTGATTTCTGTGGCATTTACCAGTTTTTCGACAATTATAATAGTAAATACACTTTCAGTGGCAAGGTTGTTGAGTACTTATTAAAGCGTAATTGGAAAGAGATTTGAACCTACAATATAGTAATTGAAAATTAAGTAATTTGTAAGTCGAACTATTATTAACTGAAGTTAATTGTTGTATATCAAATTAATATATGTTTACTGTTGGGCGCCAAGCACATAAAATGTGTTACTTCCATACCTAGAGATACTTTCCTATATTAAGCAAAGCATCGAACGATTCATAAATAAACAGAAATTAACGATAAAGCTATGTTAGTAAACATGGAAATCCAAAGTCTTATTTAACACTCACAATCGAATTAATTTTTGCATTTTTTTTATGATGCGCTGTTGTACCAAGCATAACTTCAACACGATCCAATTCTTTCTCAAACCTGGGCAATTCTTTTGTCTTCATGTCCGTATTTTTATTTGCCAAAAATGTTAATACAGATTTTTGTTCAGCTGTCTGATGTAGTAATTCACGACTCAGTTCTTCATTTCGTATAGACTGTGAAGAAAAAAAACTACGTACAAGCATGTAGACAAACTAATATGATTACACTAACTCAGCCAAGCTGATAAAATTATTTATTAAAATAAGTAGTATTTGTTTGCTAATTCGTGATAAAATTGTCTTTATTTAGTGAATATATGGATGAATGTCTTTTGACGTATCTCTAAGTACGGATAGGATGTTTTTTGTAATAGCCAGCGAACATCTATTTACCTATATCTACTGTTTTAATCTTGTTATAAGGGTCTTTGAATCATTTTCTAAACTTACAAAGATTAGGTTTATCATTGTCTATCACATACTTTTGCATGAAGATGTTTTAGGGAACTCATGTTATTCATCTCCTGCACTGAACTGAACTTCAAATACAGTTCTGTTGTTACTACTAGATACTGAATGTCGTCTGATTCTTAATATTGATTGTAAATATCAAATCATTATGTATGATCTTTTTTTACAATGCCCAGATGCTGATCAAAACAACACTCTCAATAACTGTCATTCATTTCTGTTACAGTGTTACAACCATTGAGGTCTTCAAAACAATGTTGAACGAGGAATCCCATAGCATTCTGCTCAGTTTTATTTCTAACTATTTAAGGTAAATGTGGCTAACACATTTCCTTTTTAGGCCAATCTAAACATAGTTATACACAAAGTTTGTTCATTTATTGCTATTATCATCATTATTATTAATGGCTTTATTCAATATAATACATTTAGTAGCATATAGAATTCCCAGCACCAAATTTTCCAACAAATTACCTTTACAAAACAAAAAAATCTGATAACTCCGTGCATACATACACAAATTAAGTAAATGAACTACCTGAAATTGAAGTGTGTTTTTTTAATAAGAAAGAATCCGTACAATTTTCAATTAGAAGCATGTTTATTTATACAAGTTATTAACTAGGCCAGCTCGAACAACCTCTTGGTCACATAGTATATTTGCTAGATAAGTTATCGTAGGACTTTTATATATTTGCTTCAGTGCTTAGATTTTAATATAATGTCAATTCGTTCAAAATGAAAATATATGAGTGAAGTGAATGTTTCGTATTTAACAAGATAACACCTGCTAGGAGTTTGCGCGATTTTAGATGTCTATCCACAACCGCATTAACAATGACCTTCAAAGATTCACCTCACACCCTGCTAACTGTCTTCAGTATTCACTACGATAACGGAGGACAGTATAGAATAATTGGTAATATGCAAGAGTTTAAAAATCGTAGGAGTAAATGTCGAGTAATACGAAAGTGTGTATTCTTTATATATAATAAGTCAGATGTGAAACTTTCTTTGATATCAATGAAACATGAGTAGACCAAGAGAAATCAAAGGTAAAATTCACACTAAGATAAATTATCTTTGACGCTGTTTTTGTTACATAATCTCTAGTAGTACAAACTTTATGGGATTTCAATAGAGTCTTTAAGTGATGCTCAAATCTCATGCTGAAATTAACGGTTTGATATTTAGAAGGAACAAGTGTGAGACCATTAACAGTAAACTGTCGTTCAATGAGAGAAAAGAACTCATTCATTTCAAGGGGATTTGAAGAAGCAAAAATCGGTGTACATACAGTGAGATGATCAGCATACGTAACGAAAGTGATTTATATAGAAGATGGCAGATCATGAAGATAAAACGAAATAAAAGGAGTAGAGAATAGATCCTTGTGGCACTCCTCCTGAACATGGTAAAGACGTCGAACACTTTCCTCCAAGCACAGTATACTAAGCATGGAACGTGCTCCGTACCCTTTTTCAAGCTGAACACTATATTATAACGCTGAACAACAGCAGCATCTAAAGTACTTCTTGTTCATTTCTAAGCAAACTGGTATAGATCAATATGCTTTTTTAATGCAGAGTGAATTGGGAGTAGCAATAGTTTCTCCATTGTTTACAGAAAAGGTGAAGTTACTCCTACAGGTCTAAATTTTGCATTCTTGTCATCAGAAATGTTGTCCGTGAAAGGATAACACTAAACGTCCTCATGCTTCTTAAAAAGGAAGTTTGGGATTTGGTCAGGTCCTAAATATTGGGATAAGTTGAGTGACTCAAGACATTTTCGGACATCAGTTTCAATTAGAATTGAAACACAACTGTTCTTCAAACTTATCGATATAGGGAGCAGATGGTCAGCGTACAAAAACTTTATAAGCTCACAAACATCCCACCTGTAAGCTCTCTAAATAGTTTACACATATTTGTATTATGTTTACAAAGTAGGAGTTTCAGAGCTAACATCGGATTCAGACGTCTAATCTCTTGATTTATTAAACCACTTAGCTTTCGAACTTCAATGGAGTTCCTTATTTTTCATTCCGTGATTATTTTATTTGTGGAGATGTAAGTCAATCACATCTTATAAAAATATTTTCACTGTGTAAACAAACATTAAAGTAGAATTCCAGATAACAAGTAGCTACATCAACAATGTTTTCCTATAAACTATTTGTAAATAAATGTCTTTTAAATCTTGGATATTTCCTTCTGATTAATACAATTATCAGAACTAGACAGTTGAACATGTTTACGAGTCACATATATTCATACATCACTAATGAAAACTAAGTTTAAATGGGCATCTCAACGAGTGGAAAAGTCTATTGCATCTTGATGACCTATTGATGAAAGAAAGTTATAATCACGTGTATTAAGATCATTTTTATTTTTTTATTTATTTGAACACATAAATATCGGTACAAGGAAGCACCAGATACATATGCACCTCACAAATCTCATTTGATTTGTGTGAGGGCTGTGATACTGCCCAGGTGCCTAAACTGAAGCAGGTGATTTTCTTAAGGGGCCACACCCTGAGCCTTTGACCTAAAGGTTTGATCCACAAGGCAGTGGAGCATTGTAAGGAGATGCAGTCCCATGGTATCCGATGGACAACAATAGGTTCATACGCCATTTGTTTCCTCAGGATACTGGAGCCCATGTACACCATTGGTTTGAAATCAAGGTTTTCGAACTCCCCTAGGTGGACTCGCCGTGTCTACCAACCCGGTTAAAGCGCCGGACATTCGCTTTTCGTCCTCTCAATTTCGTAAACAACATTAGTGCCACGAGAAGGCAGTGAGTAGGACTTCCCTGTCAGAGGCGTGGTCTAGCGGTTAAGATTAAGATCGTTAAATATAGCTGAAAGTGAACCATAAAAAGCAGTAACAGTAAATCCACTGAATCGATCAACCAAAACAGATAATCTAAATGGTGTGCAGTCCGTAGTCTCTCAAATGTCGATAACATATACATAATCGCACTTGCTCCAGTGTTTTGCATGGCATCTTATAAATAAACAGCTGACGAATTCGTCTGAAAACTTAAAACATATTAAAATTAGATAGGGAACAGTTCACATTCACGATTATAGCTATATCACCACCACGCTTTTTCCTATTTCTTGATCGATACTAACGATAACTATTGAAACTATGTAGTAATACTAAACAATAGTCGTGCAAATCATTTAACTAAGATTCTTGAATTGTGATTACACCACAATAAAAATACATCTTAAAACTTATTAAGAATTGAAGATAGTCCATCTTGCCAATTAATGATTAGCAGTTGAAAGTTAGCAGTTCAGGAATCGACATCTGATAAACGTTCATTCTTTTTGATGGATATTGTTAGCCACCTTGATGTCTTTGATTGTACTCTTTTGTATTTTGTAAAGTAACAGGAATATCGATGCACGAGTATCTGATAATGTCTTATTTTTCTAAACTTTACATACTAACATAAGTTGTCTTTTAAATTCACTGGTTATTGTTTAGTTGAATCTTCCGATTGATGTTTAGGACTGCAATTGATTGATCTCTTATTGGCATATGTGCTTACTGCACATATTACCTCGATATTGCCTTAATTTACAATAAGAAATTGATCAATTGTAGTCCTAAACATCAATCGGAAGATTCGAACAAACAATACAAAATGTATTTAGAAGTGATTTATGATGGTACAAGTTAGTCAATATATATATATTGGTAAATGACAATATAATTTGTATCTAGTAAGTTAAATGTCTAAAATCAGTTACTGATTCATTATTAATTAGAACGAATAAAAGATTTTATTATAAGCAGTATTGATTGTTCAGTAGATAGCTGGTGGAGTATTTTGTTAGTACAATGACTGTTCAATGTAACACAACTTCTGACTTAATAAAAAGAAAACAGGAGTTTGTTGACAAATTAAATTGATATTTATTCCATGTGGTACCGGGCCGTAATCAATACAAATCAAAACTGATAACCAGGTATCTTTAAATGTAATCTTTATGGAGAGAATTGACCTTTCAGATTAAAAGCCAACTTGTAAGCAAAGATCGACAGTGGCTAGCAGTGGAATGGTGGACGCGCCTTTGGTCCTATTTGGGACTCGTCAGCTGGATGTACCTGCATCTGAGTTGATGTTCACTGTGGGACTTGAACCCAGTACTTTTAGCCTCAGACGCCATAGTGTCATCGACTTAGCTACTGAGTCCTGTAAGGGAAAATCAACTTTGAGATGCAGGTACATCCAGCTGACGAAACGTGCGTCCTGGATTCCACTGCTAGCCGCCGTCCATTTTTGCTCATTTCTAAATAGTTTTATGCACAGTTTATTTTTAGCCAAAAGCTGAATTAAAGTTACGAAAACAGTGATTAATAGTCAAATTTACTGTTGATGGTTCTACTTAACAGATTTGCAACATGATCCAAATAGACAGTAGAGAATAACAATTTTCAGCTTCCGATTAAAAAGTCACAAGCCTGAGTTAAATGTATAATTCAATATGTTTCATTTAGTCTAAATCGAAATAGGACGGAAAAAGAGCCGATACTTTATCAAGCTTTCAAATATATCATCTTATTGATTTTTTTGTGAAAACAGTACTATAGAAGTACCAAATAAACAGCTTTATAAAAATATGGAATATTGAAAAAGAGAAAAGTAACTACACTTTATTTGGAATAAATCAACTATTTCTATCAATGAAATGAAAGATATGCGTTTTGTCCTGTTTAGGGCTCTTTAATTGAATGTAGCTGCCTTCCGTTGTTGACGGTGACATCAGTAATAGGATACAGTACTCTTCACTCCGAACTCCGATACGTTGTCTACTGAACTGTTGAGTCCACACAGTCAATAAGTTTCCCAACCATTATGGTGTTTATGTGCTTATTGGTCAGTTTCTGAATTATTCAATACGGTTTAACTTCGTTTTTTACATTTTTGTCAACTCATAGAGCTAAAATAATCTACAAGATTTTTCAATAAGAAATCGTGTATTCATATTATCTATCAACTGTCTATTGGTAACTTTCAGAAGAGCATAAGACAAAAAGAAACATATCGACTCTAGCTTTTCTCTACATACAAAAAGTACTTACTATTATTTTTTGTACATTTAACGAACCAAAATATTAACTTTATTTTATGAACATTCATTCAAATAAACTATAATAAACGATTTTCCAGATAGTATATACCAAATTAATGGGTGAGGCTATAATTTATGGACGACCTTTGAGCGACGCCAAACTGACCTTGAGAACCCCCACCTACTAACCAGAACTAAATGAAGGTTTTAAACCAGAGTGAGGAATTAGAATTATGATTTGCGGTTGATGGTTAGAGTTATGAATTAGATCTGAAGTTTTCATCACGAAGTGACATCAGCTATAATGTCAAAATGCTATTTAGCCAAGTAGATGAATGAGTTTCGCGTCAAAATCCAAGACCTCTTATCTTCTGTCTGATTGGTTTGTCCATAAGTTATAGTCTCGCCGACTGTAATCACTTTTACATATATAACAAAATTAATGTTACAGAATTCCACAAGACAATAGCAATTATATTGATTCAAAAAATTTTCATCAGTAAATACAGTCAAGGTAACCACCTCCGAGGATTTTACCATTGTACTTTAAATGTGATTGTAATTCAATAATGAATAATAACTAACTGAAACAGGTTTCATTAAACCAATAAAACAACGTAAAGAATCAATAGATTAAGGAAAAATAGGATCGGATCAGTGAAAAAAGAGTTGATACTTTTGAAACAAGGCAATCGATCTTTGTTAATTAGAAGAAGGATGACCAACACTGATTAACAAAATCTCTAATCAGTTTCGTTTCCTTTCCTTTTGCACTAAGAATGAATTATTAGTTCAATGAATTACTTCAGTCATATACACATTTCCTCCTCCCTCTCTCTTTCCCTGAAAACTATTTTTAGACATATGAGTGAAAACTATTAATTGCTTCGACAAGAATGCCTGTTCATGTGATTACATTATAATGAAACGAGTTCACGTAATTGTTTCTATTACCTCATTTTCCAAATACATATTAGTGTTTTTGGATTTGAATCGTATTCTAAGTACGAGGACTAATGTTATCATCCTTCTGATCAGATTAAAGCAGCCCAAGTAAGGTTCGAACCTGAAATCTAGTGGTTGAAAGTCAAATGCCCTAATCACTGAACTACTGATATGTTTTTATCAATCACAGTACTCATAATACAGAAAAAATATTTCGTTAATTGATAGTTAAACTTTTGTCATCACCGGGTGGTGATCAACCTCATAATGAACAATACGGTATGTTGACTGTGATTCATCAATAAAGCCATTAATTCAAGTGACTAGATGTTTCTTTATAAGTCGTTTCAGTTAGATGTTGTATGAATGTTATTTGACAGTGTTAGTATATGGCTCTAATGAGGAAAAGTGCACTTTCTAGACTCATTAGGAGTGGAGGCATTTTAGGAATACAGGGTTTAGAATCCTTCTGAATTACTCTATCTAAACTATACGTGAACAATAATCGGTAAATATGCTTGATCATCTGGATCACTGACTGTCTAAATGCTCCTAGTGGAATAAAGGCATAGAATGAGGTTACTAGCTGAGTTACACATTCACTTCCTCCTAAAATGTATGAACATTTGAGTCCCGCGATGGGTGTGGAGCTTGCGGGCAATCGACTGAAAACGTGAAAACAATGTCCAGATGATTTTATTAATTACTTACAACTCTTAGTATCATTAGTAAAGGTCATTTGATCGATTTGAAAGAGCACTATCTCCATGACAACACAAAACAAACACAACAATATAACAAAGATATATCGTTTGAATAGATGACTAGTTTTCACGAATTCCAGGATGATAAATCATTCAAGTTAATAATTTATTTACATCCTTTATCGCAAATTTCGATTAATTTCCAATAAATTATTCTGTTTAAAAAATTATCCTACATTAGATATCATAGTAATAAATGATTGTTAATCTTAACAAACTTCATTCTATTTAACTGTTTAGTTGAAGTTCAGTGTTGTTTCTGATATTCATCTTCATTTTCAAAATTGATCACTGATTTTGTAATCAGAAGCTTTTGATCATTGTATAATTCACTTTTATAGAAAAGGTTTCATTGGCTGAAATTATTTTATTCGATTTTATGTAGATGAAATATCATTTAAGCGGTTAAACTAGATTGCAAGGGCAAACCAAACTGAATCTAGAGAAAAAAAAACTTTCGATTGTTTGCAGGAAATCCCAGAATTGAATGATTTTATCTTTCTTCACATAAAATGTGAAATGGAAGTACCTTCGTATGATGATCAGAACGTTCAAAACTGATAAAAGGATTATTTGTTACTCATTATATTAGCAAAACTGACAGTGTTAAGCAATTCTTGTACATAGTACGCGAATAAATGATATTTTGTTTCAGTTTACTTCGTACATGGTAAACGTACAAATTAGTAATTTTATCTATGGTCGACAGAATATAAGAACATCTGGTGAAGTAGGAATTCTAAGATAAGTAACGATTTCCTCTGTGAACTTTTCTTCATCGTTATCTTTTAATTCCATGCTAACTACTAGGTGCTATTATTTATACACATTTTGTAGACAAGGATGAATTTTCTACCAAACTCTTTATAGCTAGGAGTAGGATTCAGAAAGGAACTCTCTAACATGTGCGAAATCTTTATACTCAGATAAGTGATGTTATGTAGCAATTGCTTTACAATGTCAATACTGAAAGACTCATATTAGGCTTTATAATATTAATACACTTTCTAAAATCAATCAATTCTAACAGGTTTCATGATACAGTTTGAAAATCAGTATCTTTTGCAAGATCAATGAATGTTTTTCAATGTCTAATATTTGTGTGACATCAAGAATTGTCAAACATTCCTCGACTTATTTAGCAGTTGATTGTTGAATGTATGAGCATAATTTTCACTGAGAATTTCATTCCAAACTCCAACTTTCACTTTATTTCCTATTTTTATCTGAAAAATTGGGATGCTTTATCGTGGTGTACAGAAGATAATGTAGATGGATTTAGATGCTTGAAATGAAATCCTCAGTGAAAATCATGGTCATTTTTGAAACACTCACTCACTGAACAACAGTGAAAGTGTTTGAAGATACAAGTTAGTGCACCGTTATTGAGCACCGAATAAATGATAATTAATCTCACTCTCTTAAACTCTACGTAATCAGAAAACTACTAAACATATACAGACTTATGTCATGAAAACGATTATAATCATCTTACCATTCTATTTAATTCTTCATGTAAATCCCCTAGCTTCTTTTTTAATTCTGTACAATAATTATTTAGCATATCATTAGATCTTTGCAATTCTATTGAATGCTTTGCAGCTTCTGTCGCCTTCTCACATATCAATTGAAGTTGTTTATTCTATAAGTAATAAGATATAACATAACATTCAACAATTCACATAAAGCTCAAATAATTGCATGTTTTACACCCGAAAGTAAATAATATATAAGTCGTGCGTCTAAATCGATTGGAAACTGGGTCAAAATATTGGAGATAATTGATTCGATTTTGATAATAATGCAGTCACTATATACGTACGTTTGTATTTCGATCCATCTCTGAATTAAAACGTTAACACAGATCTTAGTGATAGTCTGCCTAAAAACAAATTTTGGATTGTCTACGACATCAAACAATTAAACACTGAGATGAATATTAACTGATGACATAAAATTAGGGGAATTTGTGGATATTATAGGATTTTGTAGTTTAGATCACAACTGTTGGAGTTCTAGTGAGAACCCTTGAATATCTGAGTTCAGCCAGATTGGGTGTGAGACAGTTATCCACCGTCGGCAATCGACAAGGGGTGCACAATCTCTTAAATTGATTGAAATTAGATATCAACACTGCTGGATGCCAGCTCAGCAGTCTAGAGACTAGGACTGAAGGTTCGGAGTTCGATCACCGGATGGAGGATTTGGGCTGTGTACTACTAAGGAGTCCCATAATACGAAGGAACAGACATTCAAAGCTTTCAACATGGTTTACCTGTGGTCGGTTCGTGGTTCAAACTGTGTGAATATGTTTAAGTTGGATTTATCCAGTAATTTATTAATTAACTTATTGCCCGGCTGGAATAATAAATACATAATTGTGAGAACACAGCATAAAATGGTTGCAATATTTGCCATCTTCCTTCTTTAATGTTTAATAAAAGCTCAATAAAAATATGAAAATACAAAAGCGGTTTTAATCTCACAAGTTGTGAAACGTATGTGAATTCTCTAAACATTTATGCAATTAGCATAACAATTTGTTGCCACTTTTATTCTGAGATTTGAGGCTGTTGGAATTAGTCAACAAGAAAATTTTCTTGACCTAGGTCTTGAGCTAGTTGGGACTCATTATCAAATACACCTGTAATGTCGAGTTCACTGTTATTCCGTGCGGGGTTCAGACCTGTTTCATTCACCTTCACAAACTAACATTATACTAATTGGTACTCAGTGATCAGTCGATTGTAAATATGCCAGTCCTACAGAAGATCAATCGCGGGCAGAAAAGCTCAGTGATAAAGTCTCACAATGTGAAGCTCGGTGACCATGTTTAAACCCACCAACTACCATCAGTCCCTTCAATCTTACAGGCACGTCTTGCTGACGAGTGATAACCAGCACAAAATCTAGATCAACAATGGTCCCTTACTGTCTCCCTCAGACAAATTAATATTCCAACATAGAGTACATGATATCACGTTACTTGACTAGTGGCCACATTACATCTTGATCAGTAGATTTCGAATAAAACTAAAGTAACACATAAATATAAAATTATTCGCTACTCAGAGATTGATTAATTAAAATTTTTTAAAATTTAACAAATAACAATCATCACAATTAGAAGATGTATATGCTTCGAGACAGATATGAACAATTAGTCACTATTGAGAAATGTAGTAATCTGATGTATTAGTGGATTGAATATTTAACATAGTTTACAGCTTGAACTTTCAACTAGTCATAGCAATAGAACTCTGTTTCAATATTTAATAATCTGTTGGATTATTCAGACCATAAGTTATTCAATGAGCTTTTTCCCTAATGACTTGTTTAGCTTAGTATATCTAAAACAATCTAACTGTCAACAGAATTATAACAGATCTGTTTACAGTTGAAAGCGTGAGTCAATTGAAGCTAGACCAACAAGGAAAACCTGGAAGCACTGGACGGCTGTTTCGTCCTATTGTGGGACTCCTCAGCAGTGCGCATCCATGACCTCACCTCTCGAGATTCAGATATGTTTATATTACCCAATTATTAAATGTTTGTATAATACACAATATAACCTAATTAAGTAATTTTGAAAATACACTTTATAAAAATTACTACTTTTTCATAATGATTTATTCATTAAAACACATGATGCTTAATTATATTCTATTTTGATAATTTAATACAGTTTCGTATTTCCCCTTAAATAACACCTCTTCATTAATGACATAATAAGTCATGTAGCTTTCTTGCACCATCCATAAACATTGAATGTGCATGTATATATGTGCATGTAAATGAATTGGAACGTTGATTGTTATTTGGATTTGTGCATTGAGGATGTAATAAATGAATAAATAAATAAGTAAAACAAACCGTCTGTAAACTAGATATTATCCAATATACTGAATATAATACAAAAGACTTTCAATAACATAACTAATTATTTATTATGATTATGCTGAAAATGTCAGAACTAAATTTGCTTGTTTCTTTCTAATTATAACTAGTGAACACTTTGAAAACTATAAAAATAAAGGTTTTTAGCTCACTTAAATTTCAATTCAGTGGTTTAATCTTACTTATGTCCTCACAAATGTACATATTTATCAGATTATATGTTGTACATGACTAAGTTAAAGTAAAATGAGATAAGGGTGAATTCATGTCCATATTTTTCATTCATTTCAGTTTATGATGGGAGTAAACAAGAAAAATATCAGGTTTTAGCATGAGTTCACGTTAAAAAGTAAGTTTCACATGAGTTGTAATTTGTAATGAAAGATGGGAATCAGTAATAAAAAGGAACAGGTTACAGCTAGCTTACGAATTTTCTAAACTTTATACGTTATGAAATTGGAAAATTCATATCACTGTACTAAGTGCACACAATCGATTTGGTAAGAAAACAGAAATATTATGTATCCGTTATTCAATGTTCAATATGTGTGTGGGGCATGGAGCATTTCCAACAGATTCTCGTAAATTCGGTTGTCGAATACTACATGTAAGAGCATAATTTTAATTGAAGATTTCATTTTGAACTATAATTTTCCCCTTAATTGGTTTTTCATTAGGCAATTCGGATTGTGGAATATTGATGTGTTCGTAGAAGATAGCTTCAAACGATCGAAGAGAAATCTACGGTAAAAATAATGCTTATATATGTAGTACTGAATCACTAACTGAATCGAAAAATGTTTCGATTTCCACGTATCACACTGTTTTAGAATACTAAAATATCCCGAGATAACCTAACATGTGCATGAAAAATGTATGCAGTACAGAACGGCTTAAAATTTTGGGGGAAAATGGTAAACAAGAAAAGAATCATATTTGAAGTTAGATATACCATGAATGCCATAGTGATATTGATATAAACTAGATGATTTTAGAATATTTGATTACCCTATTCTAAACCCTCAAATCAGAAAGGTTTTCATACTTCATGACATTCAAATCAGTAAACACTGGTTTCATTTATTTTAATACCTCATTTTAATTGTTGACGGTCTTTCTAATCCACTTCCCCATCCTATATTAAAAAATGTCACACACTCATTCAAGCATCAGTTTAACTTGGATTCCTCGCTTGTCTACGTAGTTCTAGTTGAGTCTAGTTGAATGGTTCATTGAATATACTGTCAGTATTTGTGAATTCACCGAGGAAAAAATACAACCTTTTACTTGTAATCACACAATCTTAATCAAAGTCAATAAAATACAGTAATCAAATCACTGTTTCTGGTTTTTCATATTGAACTAATGTATTCTACCAATTGAATTTTTACAATCAAACATAACTTACCACATTAAGCTAATCAGTATCTACTTTCCAGGTGACCATTTTAAACTGTGTTACATCTTGATAAGAACCCTTGACTAACTGTACTATAGCATTTAGGTTCAATTCCACAAAAAACAATCACACTAAGTATGCTAAAAATTGGAAAGTTGTCTAGTAAGATAAATCTGAATTCCGAATGAATTCAATCTGAATTCGATTGAATTATCTATACTTAACATCTACGCACTAATCAGTAAAACGAATGGATATACTGTTCTCTAACTATGCATTCCACTAAAACATGGTTATCTTACGACAATAAATATGAGAGTAGACTTAAAGGAACAGTTATAAGCAGAGGTGTATGGTGACTAGTAATGGAATCCAAAATAATCGTTTCGTCCTATTCGCGACTCTCCAGCTGGATGTTCTTGAGTTCAAAAGTTCATGTTCACTCCTAGACTCGAACCCGGCACCGATCTCCTCAAATTCCGGTGGCAATATTAAAACAACCGATGAAAAAATGAATTAAGGGAACAGTAAAACATATAAAAGGAAAAACTATTTTTTTATGTATATGTGTTTTGTTGTATTGTGTTTTATGCGTTATCATTTCTTATTGATTCGAAAACATTCCAGGATATTTACCGAGTACATGAAATACTACTAAGAATCGGACAGCTTAGATAATTGCCCTAAATAGTTATCGTTACATATTGTTACTCAACTTTTCATAAGGAATCCTTTACTAAAAAATGTATTATCTCTACATACTTTTAGAGTAACTTCTTGTAATTCTAATTCTGTCTTTGCTAATTTTTCATTGGCATCAATTCTATCTTCTTCACTTAAAAGCCATGCTTTAGATAACTTCACTCGTTCATCAGTAGCATGTGATAGTTCTTCATGAGTTTTACCAAGATTTTGAGACAGTTCTTGAATATGTTCTTTTAGTTTTAGCTATAAAACAACAAATAAGATTAAGTAAAGAAGCTGGAATACTTTTAAAAAAATAATTTAACTACTTAAAGTTTAGTAGTAGTTTATAAGTGTTGCACAGTATCTTGATAATCTACCTACGCTGAAGATTATCAGTTTCGTTTGTCTGTCCTAATTAACCAATGATAAATATCATAATGTGGTAATCAATCTCCATCGTAGACCAGGATGGTTAGCAAAAATCACAAGACAAATTAGAGCTTCATTATGCAATCTATAAATGTTACCATGATAACATTGGTTAAACTACATCTCTTGGAACCTGATATACATCCGTCTCATAGTCAATCTATAGAGTTTAATGCTAACAACCAAAAATATAGTTAACACACCCATCACACGTCAAGTTATGACCTAAATTCAACAGAAAGGATATTAAGCTAATGAAATCATATATCTTCCCAGCAAGACTCATTATGAGTTTGTAAATTAAAAATTATAACTTGTTAGATTAGTCCTGACATTTAAATACACTAGTTGGTAGTAAACGAGATTATACATAAACGTATAGAGACTGTTATCAATTATTTGATGCTATTTGATGGAACATAGCATTTCCAAGATAAACCAATCAGTTAGACTTGTGCTCTGAAATCATTGACAATGAAATCAGAGAACAAAACAGCAATGACTTGCATATTTGTTAGAAGGCGGTATTTACACATCATGCCACGGTATCCTTTACGCAATGAGAATGATTAAAAGCAATCTTAGTACTATGGATCGAATTGACGTATTTTATTTACGTGTAAAGTGTCAACCTCTCAAATAATCTCCTAATCTTATCGGAGTAAGTCCCAAGTAATAAATGTGGTAAACAGTTAAATTTCTAGTATTACCCATGTAACAGAACACTGAAATTCCAAAATGGACTTGCAGGAACAGCTTTCTCAAAGCTGAAATTATGTACGGCTAATTAACCAGAAAAATAGAAATATAAGACTCACACCATTAATTATCTTATTCTAAATTTGAAGTCTCATAGGACTGCATAATTTCAATGATTGACTGAAATACCTTACTTATAGCCAGCATCAGCAAACACTAAAGAATTATGTAGTTGTTGGGATTCTTCTCTTTTACACAATACAAAGTGAGATCAAGTAATCTACCTTTCTATTTGTAAATTCTATCGACAGATTAATACATACTCCGAATTTTTCTTACATCAATATATAAAACCTAATTTCACTAGTTAATTAGTGAATAATTACAACAAAACCATCTTAGTACAATCCCTAAGTGTACCAAAGATGAATCCGTATTCAGTAGATTAGTGCCATTGTTCAATGTAGTCCCAGTTTTTTGTTCATTAATGATTTGTTCCAATATACTTTGAGTTTCTCTTGCTCTTTCGGCCAACAGTAAAGCACATTCATCATTCATAACCGGTGAATTTGTAATATTAGTAAGTTGAGCAGTAAATCTCAACAAAAGAGAATAAATCTCTGGCTCAGGATTATCTGATAAACAAAGAATTATTCTAGTGTAACAATTCCCACCAATTTCATCATACAGTAATTTTGTCAAATTTGAAACACTGTAAATAATGTAAAACAAAACACAAAATAAATGTAACGGCGTAGAATCTTACAGACTTTTTAAGTTTACTATAATCGTGTTTGTTCGTCATATAAAAATATAGAACTATAATTTAGTAGTTAATCCATCAACTTTTTAAGCTGCGGATCAAGATTCAATCAAGTTTATTTTTATCTTTGACAGCATTAAAGAAGGAGTACCATCATTTGCCTTCAAATTATTATAAATAGTTAAAATGTACTTTGACTAATAACAGTGCTCCAAAACTGTTGTGTATGTGGATTGACTCACGAAAACGTCGATATAGAAGAAGACCGAATGGTCAGTGGACTATCTGAACTTGGACTGAACCTATGATATATACAACAACCAAACGCAAAATCGAAGAAAATTTCGTATAACACAATAACGATATATTTAGTCAATAATATCACAACTACTGATAGCGACCACTCTCACTGGACGTCCATGAGATAATTATTTGGTCAACTGTAGATGAAGTTCCAAAGGTTTACCTGTCTTTGAAGTCCGTTTTTAAAGGATAGCAAAACTTCATAAAAGTTACTTAGTGGTTGGAAAGCACAGTATCACTAATATATTTCTCTTAAAATGGTTATCAACTTGATAATCTCCGTATAAATATTTTGGCATAATTTGATACAGTTAACTTAACTTCATGACATTAATAACCGACTAAGTATTAATTCTGTTTTTTGAGTATCTGGAATTAACAATCTAAACTATATAAGCTAACCAAATTATCTTTCGACTACGAAATTCATCGCTAAAAGCTCTGGAAAAACACTCTGCTAGGTTTTCAAGCATTTTTCAGAAGAATGATTAACTTTTATTCTCGTCAAGAAACTAAAGAAAACAACATCAACTTGTTTCCTACATGTTTTCATTTATTTTTCTTGAGCTGTTTACCAAACGAATTCAACATTATCATTGCAATCTGTACATTTTGTTCAGTATGTGAATATTTGAATATATTACACTACCTCAGTATACAAAAATCGAAATATTGTGTTTCGAATAAAAGTTGGAAATAGTTTCGATACTTTCACATGAAACCCTGCGTTGTCTGTCTAGCGAAGACTATACCTGACTTTCTGTTTGTTCTGAGGTAGCTAATACTAAATGTAGCAGTTTATGAGAAAACGCTTTTGTTTCGCAAAAAGTTACAAACTAGTTCTTATGTAGTTGGAGACAAGTGGCATAAACCTCACTGAGAGAACTTTACAGGACAAACGAGTTAAATTTCTCACCCTTCAAATCATAAGAAAATTGGCTATCATCGGTAATTGATTAATCCCTTCAGCCTTATCTAGTTTTCAATTAACTTTGGGAAAAATAAATTCATTCGCTTTGAGTGAGTCTTGATGTTTATTTGACAATCAAAACATATTTCATAAGTATTTTCATATGCTTGACCATAAAACTATTGCAGACACATATTTAATCGCAAAAACATGTTTCAAGAGAGCCTGAGTAAGCAGTGTACAGTTAGAATTTCAGTTCTATTAGAAAATGATTTTACAATCATGTTTTACTCGTTTCTCAAAAAAACCAAAAAGAGTTTAAACATCAATTTTTAATTATTCTTATTATTAGCAAACCTTTATTGTTTGACGAAGGAATAACTGACCACGTTTTGTTGGAGCAAACTACTCAGTTTCCTTCCTAAATTCTAGTTGGTTTATAGTAAATGAATTCAACTTGGTCATCTTGTTACTGATAAGAAAATATAGTGGTAACAACAGTTTATTTTATTAAGAAATCTATGTTTGAATGCTATCAGGTTGTTGAAAAAATTCTTGATAATGTTAGCTATCGTCTAAGTAAGTTTGTATGCTAACTAAAGCTAGTAGAAGCTTAGAGGAGTTGACATACTGAATGTGATTTCCATGTTATTACAAAGTAGTTTTAAATAACTGGTCCATGGTCTACGAAATAAGGTCTTTCAGTCTCTGACCTTCGGTTTTCAAGGGGACTTTCATTAGCTGTATCCACACAATTTCGTTAGTCCTTACGCGTTTAAGAAGAGATTTGAAGGTAAATAACTGTAAATTTTACGAAACTAAGGATACATAAGTAATAATTTTCATTAGACCAGAATGAATCTAACATCCTACGTATGCAAGAAAGTAGACTATTTCAAAACAAACGAACGAAATGGTATAGAGTGGCTAAAAATTTTTTCAGTCAGCGGTCACCTGTAGTTTGGAAGCTTACGAATACCAGGCCTTCCAGATGCCAATTGGTAAGAGAGGTTATACAGTGATAATAGATTCAATGAGGTGTGATTCCCAAACTCGACTTCATTTTTCATAGACGGATAAATTTTCTCAAAGCCAGTGCAACACACTATAGTTAATTTACTCCTAAACGTTCGTCTTTCATTCAGACTAGCTCCCTGTTAATTTAAAAAAAGTGAAAAATATAGATATACGTTCAATTTGACTCGAAAAATGAAAACGCCTGGTTCGTTGTTTGATTCCTGATTGATTTTTTGAACTCCACCAAAGTAGTTTCTCGATGCTTGTTCGCAAAGATTCATGGCTGCACTCAACGAATCTACGCGAGTCTCTTTAATAGGCTTATGAGTTTATTCATAAAATTATTTACAAACTGATTACTTCAAGTCGATATCCTTCATTAATCGTAAAAACCACCCGCAGACCATCACTTTTGGATCCCAATTCCTTCAACAAGTCCGAAAATCCGTCATCTTGAAGGACAAAAGAATGAAATGATAAGGCGTCTTTCAAGGAATCAAAGCTGATGTCACCTTACAAATATGAAGAGTGAATGAAAACGTTATTACCATAAGATATACTCCGAAGTATTTCCGTAATCGTTAGATTCAAAATACCGCTTTTATCAGCCCGGGATCCATTTAAAAGTTTATGGATTTCAGACTTGATCTCACCATAACACATTATGCAGGCATTGTAACCAGCGAGAAATGCCTTAACAAGAGGTCTGAGATGCTTTTCAAACAGTTGCACGTTGGTTGTTTCTGCATCCAATATTTCGATAAACCTGTGTAGAATTTATTTTTCAGCAAAAAACAACCCCATTATTATGATTGAAAGCAAGGTTTCGATTTTTAACATGAATATTAAATGGAGACGCACCTACATGATGTTCCATCAGTGTTGCTGTATAGCACCTGGTTATTTGAAAACCTAATTGATGAATCGTACTCTGTGGAGTGAAATTTACAGAGAGCATCGATATTCATAATATGACCTTGACAATTATATAAGTACTAGAATTTGGCATGGTGATCGTAGAGTCCAATATCCAATATCTTTGGCACGAGCTTGTGCAAACATTGGTTTCTTTGCTTTTGCTTCTTGTTATTTCTTTACTGTTCCAGGTAGATGTTGGTTTCTAATGGATGACAGTCTAGACAGCCGACTGCATTAATCCCAGTCGATACGTTGGTTATTTGTGGATTTCTATATCTTGTAGTTGGTTGAGTAGGTTTGTCTCAGAGCAGTAAGGATCCTGGATACCAGCAATTGCCACATCACAAGGTAGGAGATCAGTTGTTTTTAGTGTGAAACTAATAAAGTGACAATGTGACAATGTTATGCAGTAATGACAACCGTGATAGTCTTTGAGGCATACTTTACACACAGCCGCTGTAAGAGGGTGATGATAATCCACAATTGAGTACGTGTTCGCCATGTATCATCTTAAAACTATTCACCGATGGGGCTGTGATCGCCTCGAAGGAGAGATCGTTCCTATCTGGGGAAACCACCACTGAGAGTGTAGTACCAGTTCATATGTTAGGCCCATATACTTTATTCTAGTTACTGGCCAAGCCAATTCACCTGTACATTGAGTCATCTTTTGATCTTGTTAATCATTTGCTTAGTAACCTTGAGTACTTTTTATATGAGCGCATATGTGTACACTTCGTATCTTATTCATCATATGTCTGTCACTCATTTTTGCCTGCCTATAAATGTTAGTTAACGCTTGCTTCAAATGAGTTGGCTTCCCAGCCATCTCCACTCTGCATCATGTTTGCTTCGCTTGCTTACAGTTGCTCATGTGCTTACAACTTTCTGGTCTGCATCGATTATCAATAAAAATGTAGTTGCCGCTTCCCTTTGCCTTCTGATATTATACACCGTTAAGATTGGTATTAATAACGGTTATCGAAGCGAACTATGATCGAAGCACGGCACTACAAGAGAAGTGAGAGTGAGAGTGTTTCAGAAGTCATGCTTCGGTGCAAGAACGTATGAGATTCCAACTTGATTTCCCTACTGAATTGAATTACCTTAAGTACCGTGTCAGTGATTCTTCCGATGCTTTCATCTGGAACCAAATAAATGAAGCTAAGTAAGTCTCTAGGTCTATTGCGGGATGTAATGAAATTACATTTACTTAAGCTGGACCTCAACTCAATAATCTCACTGTCGTACAGCATATGATACATTCAAATTCGGTTTAATACACCTCTTTTTGTCTGCACTGGAGACGCTCACCTTTATTCAAGAACATCAAAGCTTGAAAATTTAATCAAACATGTGAATTCGCAATTAAAGTTTTTACTAGTAATAGACTCAGGTTAATAAGAATGTTGTGACGTAATAAATATGCAAGGAATAAACAGAGCACAGCTGCTACAGAATACTGACAAATATGACGCAATCAGGTTCTGTGTGATTGAGAAGAATATCGAGTTGAGGGCCAGGTCTTTTGTGAAGTACAACTCATCTAGTTACATCCAACCTGTCCATTTTAGTCCGTGCTTCCTTCGAATTACATGTAATATTGACGATCTTCTCAGGTATACAGTAGTACCAAAGAAGGTTCCATAATGTTCTCCTGTACACGCTGTCAAACGTTTTCTGATAGTCAAGGAAGTTGATGTATAGTGATGAAATGCAGGTCTTGAAAAACATTGCAGCAGCAGCCTATGCATCAGTAAGCCTTAACATACATGATGGAAAGGGCAAGATCCCTAAACAATGATATGTACGGAAAAACGATAGTTTGCACAAATCTATGTACAGGGTATTTGGATGGAATTTTACAACGTCAGGAAGGGTTGCTAGTGACGACATGTTACAGCCAGTAGCTTTTATAAGCATGACACTACGCTAAGAGTGCTTCAAATAGTTAACCAACTTGCAATCTTTCACGGAGGAAGATTCTGCCGAAACCACTCTCGCTACCTTGGCCGTCGGTGTAGCGGAGTTTGTAGCAGAATTTCGGTAAACAATTATCTCATTCCATCCATTTTTGTATTTTACTTATTCTCTTCATTCGTCTCTTGATTCTTACATAACTACTATATTACTGACCATTCATCAAAATATTTTGTTGGTTCTTTCTTCTCTTTTTTATATATTATGCAACGTAGCAACTGATTGATTTTCGAATAATAACTTTGATTAATATTAATCCTTCTCTTCCAATTAATGTTAGTTTATAATCGATGTCATTATATGATTATTACGCGACGTATCTACTTCATTAGTGCTATTTAATTATTGTAAATCATATATATTAGTGTAGAGCCATGATGAAAAACTAATTGAAAAGAAATTTCTTCGCTCGATTCGTTCCTTTTTATTTATCAAATGTCAAAATGGAAACTAAAAAGGTTTTAGTTTTTCTATTTGGGGTATAAAAATAGTGATTGGATGTTCATGACTGACAATCACAGAGAAACCAGTTTGATTAATATAGTGTCTAAAATATTAGCTTCAATAATACTAGGACGCCTAACCAAAGCTCGTGAAGAGCAGAGTAGAGAAAACCAGGTTGGTTTTCGACCTGGATGTGGTTGCATAGACCAGATATTCACCCTACGTCAGGTCCTAGAACATAGACATACATTCAGACGTCCCACAATCGTAGTATTTCTCGACCTTAAGGCGGCATTTGACTGCGTTGAACGTCAGATTCTATGGCAGTGTTTGTCACTGAAAGGAGTACCAAAGAAGTACATTAACCTCATAAAGGCTCTCTACTCGAACATAACTGATCGAGTTAGAGCCTATGGCGAACCGTCATCAGAAGTAGTTACTTCAAGTGGCGTTCGTCAGGGCTGTCCACTCTCCCCATTCTTGTTTCACTTTGTCGTCGACATGCTTTTAGAGATAGCACTTTCATCAGCTAAACCTCCAGGAGTTGAACTTCTACCGGGAGGCTCACTTGTTGACTTAGAATACGCCGACGACATAGTTTTATTTGGTGAAGACGCTGACAAAACGCAGAGTCTTCTGACCACTATAAGCAACAATGCAGGCATGTTCGGGATGCGATTCTCTCCCTCGAAGTGCAAAATCTTACTTCAGGATTGGGTTGTATCGACACCTGAACTAATGATAAGGAGTGAAGTAGTTGAGCGTGTCGACCTCTTCAATTATCTTGGGAGTCTCATCAGTCCTTGTGGTCTGGTGTATGACGAAACCTCAGCACGGATACAGAAGGCTCGTCTAGCTTTCGCCAACTTGCGTCATTTATGGCGTTGGCGAGATATCCATGTAGCAACCAAAGTACGGGTTTACTGCGCAGCAGTTTGTTCCGTTCTACTTTATGGCAGTGAAACATGACCGATAAGAGTAGAGGATATTCGTAGGCTACTAATATTCGATCATAGATGTCTTTGAAGCATTGCTCGTATATCCTGGGACCATCGGGTAAGCAATGCAGTTGTTAGGAAACGGATACTAGGTAAAGATAGCAAATCGTTTAGTGAATCAATAAAACTTCATCAGTTGATATGGCTGGGACACGTGTTACGTATGCCCAACCACCGAATGCCACGTTATGTAACGTTTTATGGTGTAGGATTAGGTTGGAAGAAGGCTAGGGGCGGCCAGACCAAAACGTTGCACAAATCCATGAAGTCACTGACAAGCGGACTGAGCCACGTTGGTAGGTGTAGACTACCTGGTTGGGATTCGCGAGATGATAGCAACCGATGGTTAGAGACCTTGAATGACATGGCTCAAAATCGTTTGCAATGGCGAAGGTGCATCCACTCTTAGTGTTCTACCGAATTCTCAACTTCTGAATTCCCCATGTCCCTATCCTTTTTCTGTTTCCAAATTTATTTCACTGGATTATACTCCTTGAATGACATCTTCAAACCCTAATCTTTTGGATTTCTGATTATACTCTTACTACTTCTACCAATATAGGATTTGAATCGACAACTTCATCTCTGTGTTAATGTGGTATGGCAACTCGAACTGATGTACGTACGTACGAAGTTCTACCTTGTGACTGACTGCAGCAAGCCTTATTAGGTAGATGTAAGCGCTTGTGAGTGAAGCTGTTGAACGTGTGTAATATCTCTGTATACTTTCCGCCGTTTGCTTCTGGCATACATAAGAAGACGAACTTTTACAGGTAATTTCAATCAATTACGAAGTATAAACCACATAGTTATTCCCTAGTTTAAGAGGACAGCATGTACAGATTCAAAGAAGCCAGAAAATACACAAACAACAGATTCTGGATCAATGTGGTGAGCGGTTCGCAATGATTGTGAGGAGAAAAGTTGTCAATTATTAGCTAAATTGGTAGAATTCCAGTTTATCCTACCCACCCTAACTGACTGCGGTGGATAGATGGACAACCATCCTTGATCTCAAGGGGAAGGTTGACGTCATCTACCTAGAATTTTCAAAAGCTTTTGATAGGGTCAACCATATATGTCTTATCAAGAAGCTTAGACGATTTAGTATAAAACCACCTTCGGTTGATTGGCTCTATTCATATTTAGAAAACCGACAGGTCAGGGTTAACTTCACTCTCTCTCAGACTATGGAATGTCCTAGTGGGGTCCCCCAGTGCTCAATACTAGGACCTCTTCTCTTCTTGATTTACATTAACTATCTTCCTCAACAAGTTTCATCTGACTTATTGCTTTTTGCTGATGATGTGAAACCTGGGAGAGAGATACGTAATCATAATGATATACTAGTTATTCAGGAGGATCTGACACGACTTCAAAGTTGGGCAGACGACAACGCACTTACCTTCAACACTTCGAAGTGCAAAGTAGTCCATCTGAGACATGTTTCAGACTATAGTTATAACTTAGGTAATTCCCCTCTAGAAGTTTCCCAAGTCGAAAAAGATTTAGGAGTGTTGGTACCCTATGACCTGAAATCGTACGCGAACTGTGACAAAAACGCCTCTCAAACAAACCTTGCACTGGTAACATTGAAGCGCATTTTTGGCCAGTTTGACGGTAGAACCTTCCACATAATTTTCAACAGTTTTATTCGTCCCCATTTAGAGTACGGAGACATAGTATTTCCTCCCTCCCTCCAAAAGGATAAGGTCACTCTGGAACGCATACAACGTCGAGCCACGAAATCATTTCGGGGACTCAAATTCAATCCTTACGAAGAGAGCCTCTAATCACTTAACCTTTACCCGTTAGAGTACAGGCGTCTTAGAGGTGACCTTCTTATGACTTACAGTATCCTTAATACTTCTGGTCATCCCCTTAAACATCTTCTTAAGCTTAGTCATAACACTAACCTGAGAGGTAACACCCAGAAATTGGAGACCCTACATAGCAGAACAGAATGCAGACACAACTTCTACTCCATTAGAGTTGTCAAGTGCTGGAATTCGCTGCCGACTGAGCTAGTCCAAGCGACCCCCCAGGAGTCTTTTAAGAGGAAACTTGACTTATTCTTAAGGACTAAGGATAACATATTATTATGATTTACCAAATTCTTTTTTCCTCTATTATCGTTCATATACCTAGGTTTCTGCCTGGAGATATTGGTGATCCACTGCTACTAGACACGGAAGCCCGTTAAGCGAAAGCTTCTTCTATTTCGTCCTCAATCATTTGAACCATTTGAACGCTTATTATTGTGTGGCCTGATTTACGAACTGAACATGTCTCGGAATATAAGAAAATGTGGAGATGTGACAGGAACTCCATTTGCTATTTTTGTGCGCCGAATGTTGTTATTCCTTTACCAGTAGTAATAAGGTATCGATAAAATTATTGCACAGCTGTTACTTTTGTCTTCATTGTAGTTTCATGTGAGGTATGTCGATAGTCTTAATAAATTACTATTTGTAACAATTACCAAGTGCTTGATCTATAAGTACCCGGCTATCAACGTATTCTTCATGTCAGAATGGGCATAACTCCTGCAGTGTTTTAGTAAGCTATTTTTATCACAAGGTCACATTGGACGTATTTAATAAGCTATAGGTTAGTATGGCTTTCCGTTCCCCGATAACGTCACACACGTTAAACATAAAAGATGTCATATGACTATGGCGAAAAAAATGGTACCACTCCTTTTTCCTACTAAGTTCATGTTTAGGCCCTCATACATGGGTGTTACGCTTTCCTAATGCTGGAGGAACAAAACAATCCCCAATCAACTTAAACACAATGTCAATGAGGCTTGACGAATCACTGACTCCAATAAATGTGGACTTAAATGAACTTCAGAACCAAACTTTACACGTTAAAGATCACAATTTCTCAGTCGAAGTGAAGGGAAATGCAGGTAAAATATTCATTTCAAAGTTTTTAATTATTTGTTTATGTAGTACTTAACAAAAGATGTCTGTCTTGTTATTTCACGGGCGCACAAAATATACAAGCTTTTTAAGTAAATATTCGGCTAAAAGTGCTGGTATTGATTAGGTCGACTTTCATATGTGTATTCTGGAAAATAACATGAGAAAGACTTACCCATAAGACCCGAGAGATAATCAAAACGTTTACCGAAATTGATAGTTCATCTCTTGCTCATAGACTCCATATGGTTTAAATGACTTTTATTACTGCTACTGGCATGAAGTGTTTGTTTCGGTTCAAAATAAATTCGAATCAGTTATGTTTTTCTTGTGATCTATTTAATCTCTACTGATTCAAATCTGACAGTTTCTACAAAGGATTTGTTGAAAGCAAAAATCTGAAAAAATGTACATTTAAGGATATTGTCATTGAAATCAAAGTGTCGAAAACTTCCGTTATTATTCTCAACGTCACATATACAAAGTATATTTAGCGGAACTACTGTTAAAATGATCTAATTTATATAAAACGAAATAAAAATATCACATAATATGGAATCGCGAATCCCTGTATGAACTGGCAGTGAACGTTGGAAACGTATCACAGCTTCATCAGTGATTAATTAAATTTCTTCGATTAAGTGCGAAAATTAACTTATTGTTTATTTGTTTTTTCCTGCATTGTTAGATCGTTCCATTAAATAGTGAATCTTAAAAATAAACCATCTAAGTAGTTTAACTAGTTAGTATTAGTTATTAGTGAATGGGAAATTGAATAGACTTCTGTAAGCTGATTATAGGGAATGTATCCATTATACCAGACGTTATCATGTTGGTTCTTATTTATACGGCATAGATGTGTTACGGTTCTAAGGTATTCTTCAGTGTCAGGAATGTGTATCATGATTGTTCTGTTCTCTAAGATTATAAATCAGAATGAATGACATACATTTTTAACTTGACTATTAACACAAATTCATTAAGCGCCAATTAAAGGATCTTTTCGGCGTTTCCCGAGAAATATGACTACAGATTTAGTATGTCCCTTTGAAATTCTGTTTCGTTTCTCAATAATTACCTTTAACTTATGGGAAAGCTTTTGCTTTGTAGATTTGAAAGCTCCATACAAATTTTATATCCGTTTTTGAGCTTTTAAGGTAGGTGTTTTTGAAAGTTCCAATAAATGGACCTTTCCGAAGTACTTATCCGGCGACTAGTATGTAACTTTACAGCCTAGGTTCATCACTTTGTCGGCTTAAAGACAAATAATATTCAGCCAAAATTATACGAACATAAATACTACCCATTATTTTTCCGAAAATCATTTTTTTTCACACTGACTAGCGAAAGCAGTAAATACATTTACATTTTACATTCTATTTTTATGCTCAGAAGTATGGGACCTCTATATATACCATTTACAAGCAAAAAGATAATAATCTCCAATATCTTGTTTATTTATCTGTTTCGTAAAAAATACACTTTAGTTGACGTCAATACAAATCCCATTAATAATGCTTCCAGATGCTAGTGTGTAGTTAGTTTATAATCAGTTGTTCCGTGAATGTAGTGGGACCATCAGCCACAGTTGTACATTGTCAAGTGTTAATAACCTACGTTTTTTTCTGTAATAGTATACACTAGGATAAAACATCATGTACTGATGAGGTTAAGGGTAGAAGACAAGTCCTTGTTTTCCTATTTAATCACTAACTAATGCTCATTTCAGTACTTTTCTATGCTCAACATAAAAACATGACACGGAATCCCCAAGAAAGAGGACTTTCAGTCACATATAATATTGGTATCACATTTTTTAGCCTTTAATAGATCTTCAACATCAGTTATTTATTTTCACTTGAATCGCTTCGTAATTCATAAATAAAGGCCACCGAAAATGCAGGAGACCGAAAGTAATCATCCTACTCTAACCGGGCGTTTCTAAAAATGTGAATAATAACATTATCGACAGAATATGTGTGTTAATTACCAAGTAACATCACAGCATTATGCCCATAAGTGCTATTATTTCATCTAATTGTCTAAACAAAAAACTGATAGGTGCAATGGAGTTTTGTATGTTCAAAACACAATTTTGCCTAAAGTGTGTATATATTTTGAGAATTTCCTCCATTTTAATTAGTGGTATAAAATACTTTGATATCAGATTTCTTCAAGTAATAAGTGGAGTTTTGTCCAAATCAAGTTTTAATCGAATGAAAACAACTGCTTTTTTCTCAAATAAGGATGGAAAATACTATTTATATCCTCACTGATCTTAACTAACAATGATTTAGTGCTAATATAAGAAACAGCATGGTCTATCATCAACTAATTCTGCATTTATAAATGTAAACTTGACCAAAACTGCCAAACAAGTAGATTATATCTGTTGAGAAAATGAAAAAAAATTATATGTTGTCTCCCAGTGAAGTTTCCTTATTAAAAAATGTTGTTCTAAACAAGATAACATGGTTTAAATAAGAAACATAGCTTTCTGGAGATTTATATATTGAAGTTATACACTCGCAAATGTATTTGCAACTTTAAAATAATAATGCACATTTGATAACAATGATTGCTCGATCAGTATAACAAAATAACAAAATAAGTGAAAACTTAATACGTATTATATATGCGTGAAGACTAACAACGTGATTGCTATAGGACGTGAAGACTGGCAAATAGAATAGACAAAGAATTGTAGTTACAGAACTAAGCTTTATAACATGATATTGCGGAAGTGAAGATAAGTAAATATAAGTTCGGATACTGCATGATTTGTGCAACAATCTTTCCAATTTATCAAGCCTAGGTACTGAATAGGGTAATTATTATGAATATTATTATTATTATCATGAGAGAAAGGAAAAGGATATTCTCTGGTTTCAATAACTATCTACTTACTATTTAAACTGTTACGAATGGTTAGTTTGATTTCATCGAATGAAAAACGTTCATCGACTTTTCTATTTGTGTACTTCTTTTATATGAGTAGTCGCCTCTATATAAACATGGATGAGAGTGTTGTTGAACTCCCTTGGAGCGAATAGAGATCAAAAACACGCGGTAGATTAACATATAAGAAATCTAACAATAGAAGAAAATTGTAAAAACTGATTATTTATATAGTTGAGATCATGAATCAATTGAAGCTGGACCACCATGAAAAACCTGGAAGTACTGGTTGACCTATTACAGGACTCCTCAGCAGTCGCATCCACGATCCCGCCTCGCGAGATTCGAACCCAGGACCTATCAGTCTCGCGCGCGAGCACTTAACCGATAGAACACTGAGCAGCCATCCAACAGATGTTAATGTCTAACTTCAACCAATCCACGAAATTCCGAATTATTGTCACAATGAATTAATGCACGTCAAATTTAATGGATTCATTTTTATCTTGATTACATGAATGAAACTATGACTATAAAATCACTGAAAGTATACGTATTTGTTAAACTACTTACGCCTCATTAAGTATTTTGGTTTAAACTACAAACAACAAGATTTAAGTGAACTTGTAGTTTAACATTAATTTAGATCTCGTTATGTATGATGTCATTTAGCTTGTACGCTTATCTATCGAAAAAAAACTTTTAACACAAGAAAATATATCATGCCAAGAGTGATTCACATACAAAATATATATTTCAGTCTGATAATATCATTTTACGTTTTACTTCATTTTACCAAATCTCATATACTGAATGAAGTTTGTTGTTCAAACTGTTTAAACAACCAAATAAACACACATATGTTTTGATTATTATGAATAATTAAGCATAGAAACAATAAAGAATCCCTTGAAAATATAATAAATAACTTTGAAATGCCAATGTTATTTAAGAAATAATAATAATTCATTGGAACCGGTTAAATGATTGCATGAGTCAGACGCACATGACTTTGCTATTTATTAGAATTTAAGTTATTTTTACATTATAAGAGTGAATTTGTGGTAGTTTGCAAATTTAGCACTGAATAACTAATTTTTTTCGAAAACCTTAACTAATGTTTTGTATTCTTTGCTTTTTTCCCCTTAATTGTATACAAAGTGAGCTAGAGTAGATATGGTTACTTTTAAAGTTATCTATTATCTATAAGCAGTAAATAATTTCAAATAGTTTTAAAGCTAGATTTTGAAAAATTTACAACGGAATTTCTTAAATGAGTAGTACAGGTATTCAATGGAACTAATCAGTCCTATACATATTCATTCACTTGTCATTAGAGTATATATTTTGTATGAAGTTAAAAGACACTACTCTGTTGAATTAGAGTAAAATTAAGTTGTTTAGGGTTAAATTCTATACTGTCGTATAGTATGTGTTCTATAGTATAACGATTAGATCGGTTCTAATTATTTTCCATTAATCCCGACTAGATATCAACATTTTAATCATCAAAAAAATTCTTAATTACATTTTCAATTCCAACAGAAAAAGTGTAATTCGCTTGTTGTGTATATACTTTAGCGAAATAGTTAAGTCACTTTTAATGAAAAAAAACTTGTTTTTGTTTGTCATAATTGTTCTATTACTTAAACGTTCTGAACATTTGGAGAAAAACTATCATTAAATAATATTTAAACTGGTGTTGATGATAAGAATCGTCTTGAAATTGAATAAATATCAAGAAATCAAATCTTTATATTTATTTACTTATATCTAAGACTCGCTTTGCGAAAAATCTAGGTGTTCTAGTGAAAAGCGATAACCATAGAGCTGATGTATCTTTAGCGTCAGACTGTTAACACCAGTGTCAGCCTGATGATCCAGCTATATTCAAAGGTGATTAAAGTCAAGCCACCAATTGTTATATCTGGTCATCGCTATTTGTTATGTCGGAGTCGCTTATCACTTATACTCGTAAAACGAGGAACCACCCCCTATTCCCACGACGCGAAAGTAAGAACACAAAGACTGGTACAAATGAAGGCTTATTAACCCCAAAACACAATGATGACGACTCTATTCAAAAATA